GGGGGGGCATTAGGGGCTATGTGTTTTTCAAACAATGTTAATGCAGTTTATAAATATTAAATATTGTAAAATAAAACAATTCTATACAACTTTATAATTAAAATTATTTTAAGAAGAAATTTTTTCACACATTATTAGAACAATGTAAATTAATTTGGTATGGAAGTAGTAATTATTACTTCCTCCGTCCTAATTTAAATTACCTGTTTCAATTTACGACGTTTGACTAACGTTATTTTTAAATGATTTTATATGAAAATAGTGTATAATTAAATCATAAAATTTACACATTTAAAAATAACATAAAAAAATCTATAAAACTAGTGGTAACATGACTTTAATAATACAAAGTACATGTAACATTAAATAATGTAATATAAAATAATCGTATAATAATTACATAGTATCATGTAATAATAAAAAATATTAACATTATTTTCAAAAAAATTTCTTGATTTATCTAATTTAATCTAAAAGGTCATATCTGATTCATTCTGATCTAAATTAATTAGATCTGGTCTGATAAAATTTAAACTAATTGAATATGATCTGATTTGATCAAATCTGCTTTGATTTGATTAGATCTAGTCTGATTTTTAATAAAAGTAAGTAATAAATTGAAAAAATAAATTTAACACAACGGACCCTAATTTGAAAGTGGCACCTTGACAAAAAACAATGAAATCTTTTTCGTCTGCCCAATTTTCATTCCTACCACACCAGCCAAGTATCCAACTAGAAAATCAACTAAAAAGCAAGCAGCACATCAGATCTCCAGATTCAGCACTCCAGACTCCAAGCTGGTATTTGAGCACACAAACCCTATCTATCCGTCCGAATCTTTCTTATTAGAATGAACACCCTCTGGTCAAGCTCAAATTTAGCAGCTATGGACGAGTCGGCACTCAGTTCCATCAGAAGACCACCGAACGAAACAATTATTTTCCTGGAGCAACAAGGAACCAGATGAACAGTTCGCATATACACATTTCAGAGTACAAGGAAAAATGTGTTAACATGATATGCAGAAAACAACCGCAAGGGTTTTGCTATGGCAGACATATACAGGACCTCATATGCTGTTGTGGAATATTTTAAGACAGCCACTGAGAATTTGAAACAGATAACTAAAAAAACCTACATAAATTCTCAAAAGTTTGATATAGTGTAACGATCCGAGCCTCAATCATGAAATTGGGTTCTGTTGTATGCAGTTTTGAAATAACAAGAAAGCAGACAAGTAGAAAACAGATCAATATTATTGGGTAGAGAACAGACAGATGTCTGCGTACTTTACAGTTTACACATACCCCACCCCCCACCCCCACCCCGGTCAAGAACTCACTTATGGAAAACCACATAAAAGAAAGCCGTCTTTTAATATGGAATGATCCATCTTTGATGATAAAAATCAGAGGCGTCAGCCTTAAGCACACTGTGAAGCATATACCCCTGACAAGATGCAAAAAGCCTCAAGGTCTATAGCTTTTTAAAATATCAATTGGCGATTCTTTGCCGAGGTGATTCTATATGTATCATTGTATTGGCATCAACAACTTTTTAAAACTATTGATGTCTTCCCCTTGGGATGAANAGCCTCAATCATGAAATTGGGTTCTGTTGTATGCAGTTTTGAAATAACAAGAAAGCAGACAAGTAGAAAACAGATCAATATTATTGGGTAGAGAACAGACAGATGTCTGCGTACTTTACAGTTTACACATACCCCACCCCCCACCCCCACCCCGGTCAAGAACTCACTTATGGAAAACCACATAAAAGAAAGCCGTCTTTTAATATGGAATGATCCATCTTTGATGATAAAAATCAGAGGCGTCAGCCTTAAGCACACTGTGAAGCATATACCCCTGACAAGAAGAAGCAAAAAAGCCTCAAGGTCTATAGCTTTTTAAGATATCAATTGGCGATTCTTTGCCGAGGTGATTCTATATGTATCATTGTATTGGCATCAATAGCTTTTTAAAACTATTGATGTCTTCCCCTCGGGATGAAAAGAACAGAGATTGATGTCAAAGCCAATGGTGTTGGTGCTCAAGGGACTCCGAACACCAATACAACGCAAATTTCTTGGTTGGGTATTTTGACTAAAATATCAAACAAGCATCTAGATATATCTCATTTGGATATCTTGAAAATCATGAATTTAGACATCAGATAAGCAATGAAACCTACAGTTCGTCTGGCGAACGTCCCTCAGGTATCCTGTACAGCTTTCCTTGCATAACATACTCATACTCATCAGCAAGTGATTTCCTATTTCCCTGCAACATGATTGCAGCAAATTTGGTCCTTTAGCATTTGAATAATTACCAGTGCATAATCCAAAATTTAAAGGAGTGGCTAGATAGATGGCTATAAACCGACATTGGCTTTTAGCCATCTCTGCACCATAAATGTCAATTAGCATTTGAGATTTAAATAAAGCAGCTAAAACATGAAAACAGCAAGTAGATATCGCATGCCATCTTCTTTTATACTCTTCCTTCCTAAAAGATTTTCTCCTTTCATTTTCTTCCCATCCCAAAACGTCTTTCCACTTTCTATTACAAGGTCACTTTTACCCCTACAAATTCTTACACTGCCTATCACATCATATCTTTTCAATACTAATTTACACATCACATCAATGGTAATTTGGGGAATTCAAAACAAAAATATCCTTCCCTTAAAGTCAAAACATGAAAGAGATTCTGGGACAAAAGGAGTACAACAAAAAAGGAAAAAAGAAGAACTAACTTCTCTAAAAAGCATGATGTCATAAAACATCAAACAGAACTATCACGATTCATGACATTGGCATACCCTCAAACATGGTAAGATCAGTACCTTTCTTGTAACACACTCATAACACGATGAACAGGCCACACAATAAGATCCGCAACAAAACCCAAAAATTCCAAAATTATCCAAAAAGTAGTACAAGTGCCATAAAATTATAGCATCAAAATGCAGAAAAATACCTGAACATAGTAACCAGAATCTGGAGTCCCATCCAAGTTTATAGTAGAAACCAGAACAATCTTAAGTGTATCATTTAACGCAATGGGATATATGTCCTTGTTCACATCGACTTGCAAAATCTTTTCAAACTGGTTTCCTTTTGCCACGATGCGATCAACTAGGAATGAACACAAGCATTATCTTGTATATCAGATATCAACAAGTCTATTCAGAAACTACAACCTGCGTGTGTAACCTATGTACCTATCACATTCACAATCAAAACTAGACCTGGCAAAACAGACCCGGAATTGATTATCCCAAGAATAACCCGATACCAAAACTGAAACCTAAATGACCTATAAACTGAATACCCGATTTATAACTGAAGCCCAAGATAACCCAAAGAAAACTGGAACCAAACTAAATAGAGTCAAACCCGAATGAAACCTGAAACCAAACAGACCCTAGATGAAGAAACCCAAACGAAATTGTGTATTTCATATACATTTCTCCTCGCCTTTTTTCAGGTTATCCCTAAATAGTGTGCTTATAAGATTAATAAAAAATAAATGGTACACCCCTCTAAAAATATACATAGTGAATTAAACCAAGATATTAAAAACCGAGCTCTCTCCATCCCATAAATGTAAAATACATCTGAGTTTGGAATGTTTTAGGAGAATTAAGGGCATGGTTATTTTTATTACCAAAGGGACCTTAGAAAAGAAGAAAATTAACATGCACCCTACAATTAGTAAAATGTGAAAAGATTGAAAATTAATAATAGTGGAAAAGTAAATAGTTGGTGGAGATTAAGGAAACATAACACAATTTTGAAACAGGCTGATAAGGAAATAATTGACAGAAAAAGTTTCAAATACAGACATCCAGCCTCATGCAATTTTTCTAAATAGTGGATGGCAAAGCCTCCACTGATGATTAACCCCATTGTTCATTATGCAAAACTCAAGTCCTATCACATATCATTGAAAGTGTGTGCTGCTAACACACTTCCTATATCAATATTCAAAATGACTAGTTTTTCATATTGTAAAAAAAAATATTGCATGCAATATTGGAAGATAAACATAATGCATGATGCATCAAAAGCTCCCATAAAAAATGTGAAAAGGAATACCTTTTTCAAACAGTACACCATCTGGGTTTATCTTGGTTACTGTAAAAATATCTTCAAACAGGGTTGCAACCATCTTGAACCTGTATATGTACATTTGAAAAAGGTTAAGCAAATATTTGAGGAGTAGACCTTAGTTTATAGAGCTTAAATTTGAAACCCAAATGAAGAGGTAAAGAAAGGGGAGCTGCATTTGTCTTTGAAGATGCCAAAAGTCTGAGTTATTCAAAGTGCTAGATAAAAAAAAATTACTTCACTGTCCCAGTGATATAATGAACCGGCATCTGTTGCGGATTTGGAAAATTTAAAGTATAAAAGCATGCATGGATTAAGGAAGTAGAATAAGAAAAGTGCAGATGAGTCCGAAAAGTGGGGGCAGGTGGTGGGATTAGCAAAAGATGAGTTGGGCCAGTTATAATATGTCAATACCCAAAAATTGCTATGAATGTCAATACCCAAAAATTGCTATGACCAACGAAGGACTTTAAATAACAGAAAATAACATAAAATGACTAACTAATAGAGTATTTTAAACAACAGAGGTAGATGAGAAGACATCTACATAACATCGATAGAAAGTTTAAACCATACAGTCTTCAGGCTTGAAAAAGGACAACATAAATTTGTTGAGCTAAGAGCATAAATCTATAGATTATTCTGAAGTGTCTTATACTCTGTAGCTAAGAAATCAAAATAGTTTCCAGATGCTACCCAGTTTATAGACTTGAGGAGTGAAGAGACAATTAAACCAATAACTACAACAAACCCAAAAAGCAACAGGGTGGACCCGGGAATTTTAGGACATGGGTTCCTCTCTAAGAGCTGCTTCATGTCGGGCATTGATTAAAGAAGTACGGAGTAATTCATAAAATTATCTGCCCCTGAGTAATCATGAAACCAAGACGAAACAAATATACATTTTTTCTAGCTATTACCTTAAAGGGAAATTCATAAATTCAGGCTTGTAAAGGACTTTCTTATGATAACTACAATGTATTACATCTTCAACTACAAATATAAGCTTTTTCTAGCTTTTGCTGTGTTTGTTGTTGTTGTAACCTATAACTCTCTTTCTTAATCTTGGATAAGCTTCTAAAGATTCAAAATCCAATTTCTTTTTGTATTGTTTGTCACAAAGACGTTTCAATCCCTTAGAATCTTGGAGTCTTTCTAAAGTACCTTTTCAGCCTAATTTAAATTCAAATAAGTAGTTAGTTATCGTAAATTAGCACTTCACTAATTAAATTAATAGAAAAACTAAACCTTCATATAATCATAGGAAAATTAACGTAATCGCAAATGATAACCTCATAATAAACAAATCCACAAATCACAAAGTCACATATCATAAATAAAAATTGATAATTGTCAAAAATTATTCAAAATTACGGATTAGGGCGCATTTAGGTTGCTAAAACAAAATGAAAAACTGTTTTGAGAAAGAGAGTGATTTACTCGGAAATAACCTGATGGGGGCGGCAGTCGCAGGCCTGGAAGCGGAGGCACAGGACGAACGGCGGAGCACTGGAGACGTCTGGCAACGGCAGATGGCGGAGAGGCTGCTGCAAGCCAAGCCTTCGTCGGCGCAGGGGCGATTTGCGACAGTGGCTCCAAATAGATGTTTTTAGGGGGTTTTAGGGAACTAGGTCTTACGTAGTCCGTGTTTTACTACCCTCCCTTGGTTTTTTAGATATTTGAAGATCAAAGAAGATAAAAAAAAGTAGAAAAACATAGAAAGAATAGGAAGAAGTTTGGAAAATTAGGAAAAATTAGGAGTTGAAAAAAATAAAAATGAGTTTTAAGAAACTAGAAGGATTTGAAAATTATTAGAAGTTGGAGAAACTAAAAAGAGATAGAAAAAATTGAAGAGAGTTGGAAAATATTTAAAAATTTAAAAGTGTTCAAATGAATGTTATTTTTTTTATGAAAATTCATATTTTAAATAATTTATACTCCTATATCATGTTTTTCCCTCTCTTTTTTTGTTTCTATGTCACACAAATTTTGTTTCAAACTTTATTTAGAAATGTTTTTCTCATTCACACACATTATTACGTTTCTTACACTTTTATTTTTTACATCATTATCAATACTGTAAAATTTCATTTCTTAATTTGTAATCATTAATTTTTCGTTTCTTAATTATTTTTTATTTTTTCTTTTCACTGCATCACTACATAATTATTTTTTTATTATGTGCTTTGCAGGGACTCGTATACATCTATGTTATATGGTGTGTGTGTGTGTGTGTGTGTGTGTATATATATATATGAGTAAATTTCATAAAAGGTTCCTAGTTTTAGTTTGTTTTACATATTTAGTCCCTACATATCAAATATCAATAATTTAGTCCTCAATTATTATATTGTTTTTCATAAATGGGCCTTTGTTAACATTTCCGTTAAAAACATGGATAAAATTATAAACTCATGATCATCTCTCTCCTCAATTAAGCTTCCTCTCTCCTCTCACACTCCTTTCCCAAATCCGTCGCTGAGTTTGAAGCTTTGAACCCACAACCGAAATCATCCCTCCTCTCTCAATTGTTCGTCTTCTTGGTAGAATCCAAAATCAAAACCAGTAACCTTCATGGATGAGTTTTAAGGTTTATTTTCTTTGAAATTTTCTAAGACTAACGCATAAAATTCATCCATGAAGGTTATTGGTCTCGATTTTGGGTTCCACCAGGAAGATGAACAATTGAGAGAGGAGTTATCGTTTCGGTTTTAGGTTTAGAGCTTCAAACTCAGCGGCGGGTTTGAAAATAAGTACGAGAGGAGGGAGCAAGCTTAATTGAAGAGAGAGAGAGTGTGTGAATATATAATGTTTTTCATGTTCTTAACGGAAATTTTAATAAATGACTATTTATGGAAAACTATATAATAATTGGGGACTAAATTATTGATATTTGATATTTAAGGACTAAATATGTAAAACGAGATATAACTGGAGACCTTTTATGAAATTTACTCTATAATAAAACACTTACAACTTTTTTGTTTTAGACATTAGTATTCAAGTGTGTAAATGGACAAACTTTTACATTTAACCAAAAACATTAGTTTATGTCCATCTTTTAGAAAAATAAATAAAAATATTTTGCAAATTTTTTTTGTAAAGAAGTGGCTAGTTTTAGTAAATCTTTTTTTGTAAAGATTAAATAGTGTAAAAGAGTTTTGTGCAACAAATTATTTAAAAGTGTGGTCAATAGTTTTTCTAAAATCTTTTTGTAAATAAGTGTTTGATCCATAATTTAATTTGTTGTTGTACTCTGTTGCTTGAGGGCAAGCAACGCTTAAGTGTGGGAAATATGATAAGCCCGTTTTGTACGCACTTATCTTCTCCGTATTCAATATGTTATTGTCTAATTTTGGATCAATCAAGAAAATTTCTCAATTATTTTTATAAGTTTTTGTTTATAATTACAACATTTCACAAATAAAATGTCTTGTTGTAAAAAGAATAAAAATTGAGTCAAAAGTTGTACAAAGAGGGTGAAAGTTAGAAAATGCAAAGCATCAAGAGAATTGAGGTGAAACTTGAAAAAATTGTTTCAAGATAAAGATCACAAGCAAAAAAAAGATTGAAATGGGTTTGAAGCAAACAGAATTGAAGAAAATGGTGAAAAATGAAGTTTTGGGCTGAAAAGCAGCTTAGGCTCCGGACAGGCCCTTGCCTGGACCTCAGGCCCACACATGTCAAATGTCTGGACCTCTGACGAATGCATATCACAAATTCAATCACGGAAAAAATCAAGAATCTGGCTCAGGCTCCTACCTAGACTTACGCACTTGCCAAGACTTCAGGCCCACGCCTGGACCTAATGCCCAGGCCTGTCGGAGGCCTGGACCGATTTTCTCCTATAAAAGAAGGGTTTCACCCCTCCATTCTCCAATCAACCAATTCCGAGTCTTCAAAGGACCGGACCTCCTCTCTACTCTCAGTTGTAAGTTAATTTATACAACTTTTAATAAAATGTTCTTTTCTTTTATGTATTTTTAATATTTAGTATGGATTAGGACCCGGATCAGGTCCTGACTAAATTTGGGCATACTCTGTATGTTTATTTAATAGTTAGAATAATTATTCTAGAATTATTTTTATTGTTAAGTTAATTAGTTATGTTGAGAGAAAAATTAATTAATTACTCCCTCCGTCCTAATTCAACCTTCTCACATTGACTTTTTCCCATTTTTAAGGAGTTTATATTTTAACCTTTGACTTCCCATTTTGCCCTTAGTAAAAATTTAAGGAAATCGAATGGTTTGCTAGAAGCCCGAATCAACCTGCACCACGTTCTTGGCACCAAGATCGGCGCGTCAACCTTCGACAACTCCGGCCGCCGCCACAGCGCGGCGGATCTAATGTTCTTCTGGCGTCGACCACCACATCGCTGGATTCGAAGCAATCCGCCATCGGAGTGATTTTCCAGGACCAGATCGGCAGTTCCACCACGCGATGGTGAAGGATCGGCCGCCGGCGCTCTGGGCAGCCCGCAGCTGCTTCTATTAAGCGGAATCGGGCCGAGGCTTTACCTATCTTCTCTGGGCATCCCGATGGCCCACCACTCCCCCTACATCGGCCAATTCGTCTTCGACAATCCAAGAAACGGAATCTCCATTGAGAGAGGCGGAGAGAGGCGGATAAGGAGAGACAGAGCGAGGGGATAGATCTAGGGTTTAAGAGCGAAGAAAGAGAAGCAGCGTGGAGGAGTAAATGCAAATAGAGAAGGGCAGTTGTGACGTAAACGAGAGGGGGTATATTTGTCTTTACACTGCCTTTTTTTGGGTTTGGGAAGGTATTTTTAGGACGGGAAAAAAGGGAAGTGGGAACATGGTTTTAGGACGGAGGGAGTATCAGATACGAAGTATTACTCCCTCCGTCCTATATCTTTCTTCATGTTGCACAAAGCGAAAAAAATCCCAAGTTTTTTCAATTTATTTTATTTAAATATTGGTATAGAAATAAAAAATAAAACATACATATTTAAAAACTACATCAAAAGTTCAACAAAACAAGTGGTGACAAGAATATTTTATTTTATCATATAGGCCATGAAAAAACACAAATAAATATAAATTTCCGTGAAGTTGGAATAGTGCTCTGGGAAGAAAGTTTTAGGACAGAGGGAGTAGTTTTTATCTTGCCTATGAGAATATAAAATTAATTAAGCCAAACTTTTTATAACACATTAATGATACCTTGAGAGAGGATAAGTTAATGAAATATTTGTGATAGAAAGATTTTTATTACAAGTATTGATATCTTGGCCCGAAGTCTAGCACTATATTCGTACTATTTATTTTATTGTTATCAAAAACACCTAGTTGTTTAGTTTATTTTTATTTTCAAATCAAATCGAGAAGACTTCTAGACTCATCCAAACCTTCGTTTAGTTAGAAAAATTAGCTAATCTCCTTCGTCCACTCCTCGAGAGACAAGACTCGGACAAAACCGACCCTTCATTGGAAAGCTTAACTTCCGCTTAAAAATTAATTATCAGAATGAAATCACTAAATCCACCCTGCATGAACAAATTGTGGTTATTTTAGATCATAGAACTAAACTATAATCACAAGTTGGGAGAGAGACATCAGTGGCATTTCATTGCAAGACTTGTCATGGTATACGCTCTAAAGAGCTTTTTCCTCACTTTCGGGATAGGTCCCTGCAGCCTATGTCATGTGGCCTTCTGAGTTGATGAACCGAATTCCGTATCATGGGCCCTAAACGTGTAAATAACATAATAAGTTGAATATACTAGACCTGGTAAGCATCTCAAATGTCACCCAACCAAGTGTAGCAAAGAAAGTTAATTATATTAAACCTAATACAATTCACATTTGCCAAGACCTTGTAATCCAACGACATGATGATAAGTTGGTCAGGTCACAAGTTCAATCCCCAGCGAGGGTAATAACTTTACGTGCTTAATGAGTTGAAAATGTATGAACAAATACTACTACAGTATAATAAAGTTATTAGTGTTAAAAAAATACAACTCACATTCAACCCAATTACAAGTATACCATAGGCTCAATTACTACTCTCTTTGTCAAAATTACTTTCAGTTCACTTTATCTAAAATTTGTGTGGAATTAACATATAAAATTACAAATTTAAAAGCTATAAAAAAAATCCTATGAATCAACATGTGACATGACTACATTAGTTGAACAAATGAGCAACTTGTTTGCATTAAAGGGAAAATTGCCTGGTTTTATTATTAAGTGGAATAATAGCTGAAGGTTAATTCTAGGTTTGTAATTGTCGTTGAACAAGGAACACTAGTTGTGGAAATGTCTGAACCGAATCAACCGATGACAAAGTGCCATACAAAGAAAAATGAAAAAGTGATTGCAAATCCACATCAAAAGATTGGTGCCATTCATGTTACATTTGGAATGCTCAAAATTGCATTATGAGAATGAACCTCAAGCACGGGGAATAGTCTATTTATGGAAAATGTTAGCCATGACAAAACCATACAGATCTTAATCAATGTCAGTCTAGTTGCTAGATTATCTGAACTTTCCAAAAGGAATAACAAAAGTTTTCTTTCTAAATGTACTCTCTAAATTTTGGGTACCACATGCATTGTTTTTTCTTGTCATTTCAGCTAGTCCACTATGCAGGCATATAACCACCACTTGGATTGGGTTTAGCTTTCGAACGATCCTTCTTTGGAGATGCATCGCTGCACTAAAAACCTGTGTATTATTTCGTAACTGGTAAATGTAATTACTGCAGATGGGGTCGTCCTCAAAAGATTAGTCGCACATCCACGGTAGAACCCGGCGGGCCCTTCTTTTCTCAACACCAATTTGATGCAATCGAAAACTCCGTTGTACTGTCTTGCAGAGTTTCTTACTTGTCCTTGCTCTTGGAGCCTGGAACGCACAACCTATTGATATCAACAGTCAAAACATTAAAGAAGAAGCAAATCACCAATGTTTTCCTTTGTTCATACTCCCTCCTATAAAAAGGTTCTAAGATGGAAAGGAGAAATAACATCTTAATATGAATCACACATTTGTGTCCTTAGAAGGCCTGAAACATTATTTTGGGATGGGCAGAAAAGGAAAGGTGTATTTAAAAAAATGAAAGTGAAATTGTGTGATTGAGTATTGTCTATACGAGAGAGAGATAATATGAACCATACAATCATATCCTTAAAAGGAAACAGGAAATTTATTTTGGGATGAACAAAAAAAGGTGAAATCTTCTTTATAAGAGGGGGGAGTACGACTTATGACTAGAAAAGCAACAATCATATTTTCATAATTTCATTAGTTCACAAGAGACCCACGCAGGACATAAAGTTCATAGCACAAACCAGACAGCTAGTAAGACTGGTGAATTCCAAAAATTCAGCAGTGAAAGAACCCAACCTTTTATTTGCTACTTTAGAACTGCTGTACAAGACTCTAGAGGCGCACTTACCTCATGCGGGTAAGTCATCACAGAGGCAGCTATTTTTGCTAATGAGGAGGCGATCGCAATTTCTCCAGGTCCTAGATTGCTGGTACTCTTGTTCTCTAGGAACATTCAAGCCAACAAAACTAATTTGAATAAAAAGCAAGAAAAGTGATCTCACACACAACAAATTAAAGATTATATGAACACTAACCCCTTTTGGCAATATAAAACTTGATCTGCTCATATGCAGGAAATTGAATAGCAACATGACTTATCCCGGCCAAAGAAGGAAGGATGCCACTGTACAGGCCATAAACATTAAACCACAATTGGTTATGCATGTACTAGATTTAAGACCAAACAATTTATTCACAAATTTTGGTTAGTGTGCAAGTGCTCACCTGTACAATCCTCTTACTCCCTCTTCAGTTACGATTCTTTTTAAAGCAGATGCTACACTTTTATAAGGAACAACCCCCTCTCTCATTCCCTGTGTCTAAACAAATGAAGAATGACAAGTGGAAGTGAGAAAATATGCAAACATGAGATTCAAGAACAATGAGACTGCCAATAGCCAAATTCATCATTTTATATGAGCATGTAATGTTTAAGGTAGACGACAACAACCCAGTAGAATCCCACAAGAGTAGGGTGTGAGGAGGGTACACCTTACACCTACTCAAATGTAGGGAGGCAGTCTCCAAGAGACTGCCAATAACCAAAGTACCCCCCCCCCCTCCCCCCCCCACAAGAGAGTAGGGTGGTTTCTATGAACAATAAAAAACTGATTTCCTTGTGAATCGTGTACCTCAAATAAGTCCTTCATAGTCTAATCATCTTAAAAAATCAAAACACATTAAATTGGGAACGTAACAAGTGTGTAGTCGTTGTAGTGTTCACACCATGAAAATAGATACAATGTTAAAAATGGACGAGCGGAAAAGGAAATTAGAACAAGGTTGTGTTTGGTTAGGGGGGAAATAGAATAATACTTTCGGGAAAATGGTTTTGAAGGAAAGCTATTTTACCCCTACATTCTCGATTGTTTGGTGGGAGGGAAATTATATTTTCCAATAAAACATTTTTTAATGTTAAGATTACAAAATTGATATTTAAAAATACGGAGTATGTTTTAAAGTTAATTTTGAACTATTTTAGCAGCATGGGGCGGGCGGCGTAGGGACAATGTTTAGGGTATATTACGCATTAAAAATTCATTGTAGTAATACTTTTGTGCAATTGGATACTTTTAATTTAATAAATAAAATCAAATTTTAAAAAAATAAAAAATCACATTTATTCAATCCGGTCTTGGTCCGGACCAGGTTTTATCGGTCTGGTCCCGGGCCGGTCCTTAGCTTAATCAGTCTGATCCTCGGTCCACGAAATGTCTCTTATTCGATCCCAGCCCGGTCCCGGTCCGGGTTGGGCCTGATGAACACCACTAGCTAGGGTGGGTGTAGACCGGGGTAGCAAGGTAGGAGGGGGGTAGCTGGGTAGGAGGGGGCAAGGGGTAGGGGTGGTGTGGTGGGGGTTGACGGGGGTGCCAGAGTACAAGGGGGCGGGGGTAGGGGTTGGGGCGGAGTTGGAAGGGCAGTAGCATGGGGGTTGCGGGAGCAGAGCTGGTGGTGGCGGATGGGGGAGAAGGCAGAAGTGAGTAGGAATTTCCCTTTAAAAACAAACAACATAAATGATTTTCCACTAAGAAAACTATTTTCCTAGCACTTATGTTACCAAACACGAGAAAATAGAATCAAAATATGATGTAGCCAAGAGACGAATGCATAGGAGAAAGAAAGGTATGTATGACTGCAGAGCCATATAATCACAATTAGAGTTGAGATTCCTTCTTTAAAATGAACCAATGTAAAAATATTCATGTAACATCATCTTTGTATATTAATGCTGATGAGTCTTTACTACTCCCTTGAGTCCCTTCATCTTTGTACATCTGACCTGGCATGGTTATTGAGAGAAATGAATTTGTGTGTTTGATATTAATGCAGAGGCTAGAGAAATGATTTCAGGGTAAAGTTGTGTTATTAGCATATATCTAGACCTCTGCCAAAGAGAGTTGGGGTTCTTACTGGGTTTGTTATTGTAGTTCACTTGTTTGTAGAAAGAATTAATTTGAATCAAGCCATTCTTTCCATAAAAAGAAAGTAGAACCTATTTCTTGAAAAACAAAAAGAAAATCTGGAACCTTTTTTGGGAACGAAGGAGTATCAAGGCCGGGCTGAACTATTAATTATTGAATGTTCATCTCATGGTGAAATGATACAATCAGGTTTATGGGTCTGATTATAGCCATACTTCATCTATTGTTGCTAAAATAACATTCATTCACCCCATCTTATCCATAGCATCTATTTGTCATTAGCTATTGTAACTTGTAAAAGCTTGGCATAAAAATGTGTTCTTACATGGTACACTGAAGGAAGATATATGCATGTAGCAACCTCCGGGGTTTATTGCTCAGGAGGAGTCGGGTTTTGTTTGTAAGCTTCAGAATGAATTATATGGTTTGGAACAATCATCACGATCTTGGGTTGGACAATTTAGTGAAGTCTAGGAGACATTTATCACACACTGCATAAAGAAGACTTATTAGAAGGCTGAATTACTTCAAAACCAGCCATCAAGATGTCTCCTATGTGATTGCTGGTTAGTTGTCCTATGTTGATTCCAAGATCCTCCATGTGTCACGAATAAGGAATCCAAAATCTAGGTACTATGATATATTATGAAAACATCAAGACAACGGGTATTCTATTAGAGAAAGGACACACTCAGATTGCTGCACATCCAGATTCCAGACACTTATAGGCTCTCCCATTGACAGAGGATCACAATGATCCCTTCCGTGTATTGTGTTTTATAGGTGAATATTCGATCTCTTGAAACAGAAAGCAAAAAATCAAATTGCTCACCCTAGTGCAAAATCCGTGTAATGTGTTATGAGACGTGTGTGAAATGATATGGCTAAAATATATACTTCAATAATTACAATACACTACTACACCACACAAACCTTGATATGTGTATCACCTCAAGCCTGTGTTTCATGAGAGGACAGAACACATTGAGTTTGAATCACTTGATTGTCACTCAAGTCAAGAAGAGATCACAATTGGCTATATTCTACATAGTTTGTACACTTTGTTGATCAATTAGATGACATTCACACAAAGCCTCTTAGAGATCTTAAAACTAAATATATTTGTAATGAGCTTGGCATCTTTAATTTACATGCTCTAGCAAGATGGGGTGTAGAAATATCAGTTCGACATCATCAAAGGCATCATAGCTTAGCTCATTACTGGCATCCACATCTTTGTAAATCTCTCTCTCTAGCAAGATGGGGTCGAGAAATATTCGTGCGACATCATGAAAGGCATCATAGATTAGCTCATTAGTGACATCATCATCTCTCTCTCTCTCCACACACACACACAAGAACAACAATAACAACCTAGTAATCTCAACTTCGTTGGGATTTAGGGGGTCAAGTCAAGATGTACATACCCTTATCCCCTATAAGATACAATGAGACTGTATCTGTTAGACCCAAATGCATCTACTACCCAAAACTTCATTGAAAGTAAGAAGCAAAGGAAGTTTAATGTGTCATTTTGATTTAGTCCATTATTTACCTGAAGATAAAACATTGTCAGTTACAACTCTTTTAGATCCATTGGCAACACACACACACACACACGTTTTAAAAAATAATTTTCATTTCTTCACAAGGAGAAACAAAAGGTATGCCTGGAAAAGCATATTCATTTCTTCACAATATTTCCAATCCATCATCAAAGCACACGACATTTTCATCTCATCATCAAAACACAGTCCCATTAAATCAATTCTTGGATTGGTGCATTTGTGCAAGCAGCTAAAAAGATACCCAACGAAGTAAAGAATAATATTCTGACAGCTTCATACTACTTATGTGTAACATGATGAATTGTGTTAGCAGATGTAATTGGGTTTTAGTACTAGTGGGCCTGCTATTGGGCTTATAATTAGGTTAGAGTTATGTTTGTATGAATAAGGCGTTAGTGATCAATGAAATGATTCAGTTTTTTATCAATTTATATATGGTATCGGAGCCAAATATGGGAAAGCCTGAACCCTAGTTTGCTCTAGTCAATCGCTTCCGTTGTCGCCATCACCGGTGGTTATACCGGCGACGGTGGCGTCACCACCTATTTCCTTTACCAATCGCTGTTTATTCATCTCGTCACAAAAATCAACTGCCTCCGAACAAATTTAGCCTCACAACAAATTCAATAGCCGCAAGGTCCTGATCTGGCCGCTATCATCGTCCTTCGCCCCATCAGGCAACCACTTCTTTCAGCATCTTTGTAACCCAGGGTCATCCGCACGAACTCCAGCAATTCAGTTAGCGTCTTAAATTCAGCGACACCATTATGCCAGGGAAATGAGAAATTCAGTCGCCGAATGCACAATCCGAAGTCCTTCGTATGTGACTTGTTTGATTTTTGTCTAGCAGCGTGAATGTTTAATTTGTTGCACTTTCTGCCGCCGCTGTTTGGGTTCCGTCTGAGTGCCCTCTGTTAGGTTTAAACAATAATGGTTGCTTTGGTTTGTGCATCAACAGGCGGATATGGTTTTCCAGGGAATACTTCTCTTCATTTGGCTGCAAGAGGGGGACCAGTTGTTTGTGTTCATGAAACTCCAGCCGCAAACTTGGGTTTTTTGAAGAGTGGTTATTGGTTAGTGGATTTGTTCGAACTCTAGGAAGAAGGCTTTTGATGTTTAGTCTGTTGTCCATCCAGTTTTTGATCGACGCTTTGATGGTCTTTGGTTGTTTGACTTGTTTAGTATGTTCAGTTGCAACAGCCGTATGTTCAGCATGTTTGTTTGTGAGGTTAGTCGCATAGTCGCACCTTAGCCCAGCAACACGTTGTTCAAGTTTGGAACGTTTGTTAGTCGTCCCGCATAGGAATCATTCATCATCAAATTTTGGTTGCTCGTTTGCTCGGCCAGTCACTTTCGTCCGTTGTTGCAGCAGCAAATCATGTCTAGTTCAAACTGTTTACCAAAAATTATTTTTTTCTGTTCCTAGTTTTATTTCTTATTGTCCAAGTTGTGCAATCGCTAACCTCATGCTCAACTCGAGGGGGAGTGTTAGCGGACGTAATTAGATTTTAATACTAGTGGGCCGGCTATTGGGCTTATAATAAGGTTAGAGTTATGCTTGTATAAATAAGGTGTTTGTGACCAGTGAAATGATTTAGTTCATTTTTTATCAATTACTAGTTTACTACAAATTGAAACGGTAAGAACTCCCAACTTACTTGTAGTCTTGTTTTAACAACCCACAGTGGATTTGTTGCAATTGCTGTTGCAGCTCCAGCCCCTGAAGCGGCTATCATATTCGCACCAATGGAGAGTTGAGCGCTAGTATTTGCTGCAAATTTCACCAATGGAAGTTATTAAACATGCCTTTTAAGGATAAAAGTGACAAGCTTCAGCACTCAAATCACCTCAAGTAGACAAAAAAACAAGAATTTGGACTAATAAGAAGATAAAAGAGAGCAAAAGGTCAAATAAGTTGCATAGCACTTACTCTGTGATTGCAGTAATCCTTTGAGGTGCCCATAAACTGTAAAGTAAACCTACATATAACAAGTAATATTAAGTCCATAGAAAAAAATGAGCATAACGGTTATAATTAGAAGGAAAAAAAGAAGCAGAAAGAGTTGTATACATGTACTTGTATAGACTTTTGCATTGATAGCTACACAAAAGTGCACCATTTATGTAGATAATACAGTAACAGATTTGCAAAAAAAATACAGCAATAGATTTGGTGCAGAAGTTCATCTATGCAGTATGCATTTCTTTAGAAGAATGAATCAATACTTTTACAACACAAGAACTTCACTCCATGGACTTTTAGTAAGTCTTTCATCTAAAATAGATCAACAAATACCCATAAACTATACACCTCTTCATAGTTGTATACTTTGTTGAATATTGAGAACTATTGAGAAGTTGCTTATCAAAAACAATTGGGAAGCTTAGTGTGTGGAGAAAGCTGCAACCCTTAGATAGCAGAAAATGATTATTATCATTATTATTACTTGTTTGAGTATGAAAAGTAGAAACACTAAGCGTCCATTTGAAAGGACAAGAATGATTTCAGGAAAATGACTTCTGGAAAATGAGTTATTTTCCAGAAGTCAATTTCCTTTTCTAGTGTTTGGCTACTTTAACAAAATCCAGAAAAAATTAGGAACAAAGAAGACCCGAGAATGAAGATGCAATGAGGCATCGTCTCTCTTTTCTTTGATTAATTCATTCATTCAGCACCCTGGCCTGATTAGTTCATTCAGTGCAGTGGGGAGGGATTGAGTTTCTTGGGCCTAAGGGGTTCAAGAATGGCGGTGGAATTAGAACAGAAGACGGTGGAGTTCTCGGCTTGTGCGACAATGGGTCAATGATTGGTCGATGCTGGCAATGCGGGTGCTTTGGGGACGGGCTCCTATCCGCGATGAGAGCAACATATTGATTGAGCAGCAGCAATGGAAAGACGTTGGTGAAATTTTTATATTTTGGGGATAGAAAGAAGAGTGCGAGAGAGAGTCACAGTCTTCCGGAGAAAAAAAGGGAGGAGAATTTCATGAATATGGGCTTCATTTTCCATTTGACCTCATGTCATTTTCCACTGACTTCCCTTCCAAACATTGGAAAAGGGGGGAAATGATTCCTAGAAGTCATTTTCCCCTTTTCCAAACGGACACTAAGGAAAAGCGCGTTCAGCTTAGGCCCATAATTTCTTTGTATAAACAGTTGTATTAGCCTTTTTAAAAGTGAGAAGTGTATCAATGATAGTGTATTATTCAACAAGGTATCAAAGCCAAGCTACTACAAAATTTCAAAAAATATACAAAACCCTAGGCCTTTCTTTACCTAGCTGTGAATGATAATGGCTTGTATTTAAGTGATTGTAGGTTAACATCTTGATTCACCCCGTTTGAAGACTTGATTTATTGACCTAATTTGAATGAAGTGAGTAATTCACCCCATTTTCATTATCCCCACAATCTGGGTGAAAGGTAATATTTAAATGATCAATCACCTGAATATATTATCTCCTAACCTGGGCAATTTTTTTAAGCTTACCCTGACCAACGCTCACCTCAATCCGTCAATCCAACAGAGCATAATTGTGCACGTTCTTGTTAATTTCAGCAAATCTTGCAACATTGTCCACAAAACCAATATTAGCTTCTTGTCCATAATTGTGTCACAGATCTATGCTGAAAATTCAGAAGGCCAAATGCCTCTGCGCACGCCACCCTCTTCACACTGAGTTGCGGCCATGCAGCAACGGTGATGCCTCTTCCAATCTCCTTCCCAGACAAAATTATATTCTTTTGCTCACAAGCTTATCTGACCATACGCTGAAAGTTTCAAGATTTTTTGGAAAAATATATTTTTCTTAGTCAAAGTATAGTATTTCAAGATGAAAAGAAAAGAAGAAATAAGTTCATGTTTTGGGTCAAGTTTTTAAATTTAAGTGCGGTAAAGTAAAATTCATGTTATGGATGGTGTGGGCAGCAAATGTTAAGTAAACGTCAAGTTGAAGAAGTTCATAACAAACCAAACCACACAAATTCAGTATATCCCACTCAAAAGTAGGATCTAGGGGTTGAATGCTAGTCTCGTCCTCAAGTTGAAGATATTCATCTAGGCACCAAAAGTCCAGTAGTCAACTGCTGGTTGAGATGTTTGTGTCGGCACCAGAAGTGAAGTAAAGTTGAAGCTGAGGATGCTCAGTGGAGTAGTGGACACTGATAGTTTCTCTGCACGTTAAAAATGTTGGGTGAAAAGGTTGAAGTTGAGTAGATAGTTTCTCACAACACACCTAAGGTTATGCGTCTTCGGCATGCCGAAATGTTACATGTTAGTGAAGCCAGTTTGTTTCATTCTTGAATGTACCTAAGTAACACTAGTTGGTTGATGACAACCTGGACCAGGGGGTATCAAGCCCATGGAAGAGGACTCAGAAGCCTAAGCCTATAGGCCAGCATGAGGATTTTAGGCTGGACCTTGGCCCAAGGCTTGTTCAAGGTCCCATGGTCGGCCACCCAAACTTGAAGGGCTAGCAGGGAAGCCCATGTGGCCTTTGGGCCAGAGCTCAGCCTCAGTTGGATCTCAAGGTCGGCCACGTCAGGACTTGGGGTACTTAGGTCCTCTACAGGCAGTAACGCAAGGAGCTCCAAAACTCTGACCTGTTGGGCCGGCCCAGCAACGCCCTTGTGCAGGCCTAGACTTCTGTGCCTGCGGTCCATTCTCCGTCTACAAATACCCCTCCCCGATGGATGGGAAGGGGACATGTTCATCCAGAATTTCTCCTTCACCGCACATGGCGGAAGTGGTCTTTAATTGCAGATCACAACGCCTACCGGTCTCTGCGATCAGAACGATGTTTGCATTCACACTGTCTATCACTCTTCTAGACATCGCTTCGATGATCTCAACACTCGTATCACCTAATCGCATGCTGCTTCTGTTAGTTTGCACAATCAGCTTCGTGATCGCAAGGTCACGGCGACTGTTATGACGGATTTAAGAAAGATAACAAACAATAAAGAAACGAAAAGAACAAAAACACACAGATTTAACGTGGTTCACCAACAATATGTTGGCTACATCCACCTAACAGAAGAGAGGAGAGCTTTTACTGATTGAGGAGAGAGATTACAGAGACTACAGAGGGGTTTTCTAGGTGACTAATCTCTATATGAATGCCTTACAAATGAACCTATTTATAGGAAAGATGGCAGCCAACTTGGCTGCCTAAATCCAGTGGGATCTGAGCTGTTGACAGCCCAGAATACTGCTGTCATACAGCTGGCCCACCTCACCAACTAGCAACCCACTTGCCCAATTGTCTAGGCCTCCTTCCAGCTACTTTCCAGCCAGTTTGCAGCCATTGTTGACTAGTCAAATAGGTTAGAATTCAAGGCATTCCAACAAATCTCCACCTTGACTTGAATTCTCTCACAAATTACCAGATGCACCTCCTTGGTGCCATATGTATCCGCTCTCTTCTCTTCTGCCATTTAACAACTTGTGATATTTAGCAAGTCCAAACAATGTTGGAACTTGCTCTGTGGAACTGGCTTAGTGAACATGTCGGCAGGATTGTCAGCCGTGCCCACTTTCTTCACCCTGATTCTTTTCTCACTTCTCAGGAAATGATACCTGATATCAATGTGCTTAGTCCTTTCATGATGAACTTGATCCTTGGCTAAGCATATTGCACTCAAACTGTCGCAATACACTATAGCCTGATCTTGATGTACACCAAGATCGTTGACGAGTCCTTTTAACCAAATTCCCTCCTTGGCCGCTTCTGTCAACGCCATGTACTCTGCCTCTGTAGTAGACAAAGTCACTGTAGCTTGTAGAGTTGCCTTCCAACTCACCACAGAATCACCAAGAGTGAAAACATAACCAGTCATGGATCTCCTACTGTCCATATCCCCGGCATAATCAGAATCTGAGTAGCCGGTTACCAAACACCGTGTATCACTCCCATAAATGAGACCAACATCTGAGGTACCTCTAAGATACCGAAAAATTCTTTTCACAGCCTGCCAGTGCTCCTTTCCTGGTTTAGCCATAAATCGACTAACAACACTAACAGCATATGCCAAATCTGGTCGTGTGCAGACCATAGCATACATCAGACTTCCTACTGCACTTGCATAAGGAACTCGAGACATGTACTCCTTTTCTTCCTCGGATTGAGGCGCGTACATTACAAGCTTGTTGTTAGTAGCCATTGGAGTGTCTATAGGTTTAGCTGATGACATGCCGAACCTGGACAATATCTTCTTAATGTACCCTTCTTGTGACAAGAAAAGTTTCTTTTGATTTCTATCCCTATAGATTTCCATTCCCAAAATTTTTCGAGCAGCACCCAAATCTTTCATTTCGAATTCTGCACTGAGAAGATCCTTCAGTTTCTGAATATCAGACTTGGCCCGAGCAACAATCAACATATCATCTACATATAAGACTAGATAAATGCGAGAACCATCTTTCAACTTGTTGTAGTACACGCAACAGTCAAAAGGACTCCTATTGTAGCTGAGTTGCATCATATAGCTGTCAAATCTCTTATACCACTGCCTTGGAGACTGCTTAAGCCCATATAAGGACTTTCTCAACTTGCACGCATGATTCTCCTTTCTCGGAACTTGGAAACCATCTGGCTGAGTCATGTATATCTCCTCTTCTAACTCTCCATGTAGAAAAGCAGTCTTCACGTCTAGTTGCTCAAGCTCCAAATCCTGATGTGCAACTATTGCTAGTAGCACCCTGATAGAAGTATGTCTGACCACCGGAGAGAAAATCTCGTTGTAGTCTACTCCCTCTATCTGATTGAACCCCCTTGCAACTACCCGTGCCTTATACTTAATACCCTCAGTCGGTGATATTCCTTCCTTCTTTTTGAAAACCCATTTGCAAGTGATTATCTTTCTCTCTGTCGGCAATTTGACCAACTCCCAGGTTTGATTCTTGTGAAGAGACTCCATCTCGTCCCCCATTGCAGCCAACCAGTGTGCTGACTCAGTTCCTGAAATTGCTTCCTTGTAGGTGGACGGCTCATGAAGCTCCACTTCCTCAGCAACTTGCAATGCATAGCCCACCATATCATCAAGCCCATACCTCTTTGGAGGTCCAACTCCAACCCTTCTTGGTCGGTCAAACGCAATGCCATGCTGAAAACCTTCAGATGTTTGATTTTCTGGTGGTGTAGATTCTGGCAGATTAGTTTCTGGTTGTAGTAATTGATTACCGACCAACTTCTGTGCCTCGCTCTCCCCTTGAGTAACTTGCACCTCCACATGTCCATCAACAACTTCATTCTCTGCTACAATAATGGACTTCACCATAGGGTTGAACATAGAACTCTCATCAAAAATTACACTCCTACTAAGTATAACCCTATTCTCAGATGGAGACCAGATTCTATATCCCTTCACCCCTTCTCCATAGCCCATGAATATTCCCTTTTTAGCCCTTGGCTCTAGCTTACCTTCATTGACATGATAGTAAGCTGTACAGCCGAAAACTCTCATATTTGAGTAATCAGCAGGTTTCCTGTCCACACCTTATAAGGTGTTTTACAGTCGATGCCTGTGTGTGGTCCCCGGTTTGTTATGTAACATGCCGTTCTAACTGCTTCTGCCCAGAAACGTATAGTTAGACCAGCGTTAGAGAGCATGCACCTCGCTCTCTCCAGAAGTGTCTGATTCATGCGCTCAGCTACACCATTCTGTTGTGGTGTATCCCTGCGGTGTCGAGCAATTCCATCATCCTTGCAAAACACATCGAACTCCGATGAGCAGAATTCTAGACCATTATCAGTTCGCAGCCTCTTGATCTTCTTCCCAGTTTGATTCTCCATTAGCGTCTTCCACTGCCTGAAGTTCTTGAACGCTTCACTTTTATGCTTCATCATGATTACCCAAGTCATCCTTGAGTAATCATCGATTACCGACATAAAAAATCTGTGACCACCGACGGACCCCAACAGTCTGAGTGGATGTAATCCAGTGTTCCCTTTGTTCGGTGAACTGCCTTTGGAAACTTGCTGCAGTGTAGCTTTCCAAAAACACAATGCTCACAAAACTCAAGGCTTTTGATCTTGTGACCACCAAGAAGATCTTCCTTTGATAGAATTTGCAGCCCTCTTTCACCCATGTGTCCAAGTCTCATATGCCATAACCTGTTCAAATCATCCTGGTGAACCACAGATGACGCAACAGCTACAGGATCAGTGTCTGTTGAACCTTGCAAAAAGTACAAAGTTCCCCGTTTGACGCCCTTGAGAATCACATTTGAGCCCCTACACACATGTATAGCTCCACCTTCACCCTTGAAGCTAAATCCCTTACTGTCCAACAAGCTTAGGGATATCAGATTCTTCGTCATTAGTGGAACATGTCTGACGTCGTGCAATGTGCAGAATTTACCATCATGCGTCTGAATCTTGATCAAGCCTATTCCAACCGCCTTGCAGAGCTGTTTGCCATAGACACATTTCCCCCGTCTATCTGCTCATAGGTTGAGAACCACTCTCTCCTTGGACATATATGGTAGGACGCCCCACAGTCAAGTACCCACACATCAGCATGATGCGTGTGTTCGTCTGCAACCAAAGCAATGTCCTCTTCGGAATTGGTGCCATCTACCGCTACCTCAACAGATCCTCCAGGTTTCTGCTCCAGTTGTTGCTTTCTCTTCTTCGGGCATTCATTCTTCCAATGCCCTTTCTCCTTGCAGTAGTTACATAAATCATTTGCTTTCGGACCCTTGGAACCTGGCTTCTTGAATTTCTTCTTGCCCGGTTGTCCATGTCCTTTGCTTCCACTGGCTATCAATCCAGCGGCCTGATTGTCTGTTCCTGCACCAGTCGCCTTATGGCGCAACTCCCTGGTATGGAGAGACGACCTGACCTCTTCCAGAGACGCGGTATCTTTCCCAACGATGAAAGATTGTACGAAATTCTCATACGACAATGGTAGTGAAACCAACAAAATTAAGGCAGCATCTTCATCCTCTACCTTAACATCAATATTACGCAACTCCAAAACTTAACATAAATTAACTAGGTCTACCAGAGATTCTCCCCATGGAAGGACGTAAGCCTCTGGCTTGTCTGCAACGAAGTCTTCGTTGAACAACCTTAAAGACTTTGTCATGTATAGACTTTCCAACTTCAACCATAGACCAGCGGCAGTTTCTTCATCTGCGACCTCAGTGATGACATCATCTGCAAGACACAACATGATTGTCGAATGTGCCTTCTCCTTGAAGGCAGCCGACTCAACATCGTCAGCCCTAACGTCCTTTGATAATGGCGTCCACAAGCCTTGTTGCTTCAACAAAGCTCGCATCTTGATCTGCCATAGACTAAAACTATTCCTCCCTGTGAATTTGTCGATCTTTACGTTCAAAGCAGACATCTTTCTCACCAGATTACAAACCTCAATTACCCGAGCTCCGATACCAGTTTGTTATGACGGATTTAAGAAAGATAACAAACAATAAAGAAACGAAAAGAACAAAAACACACAGATTTAACGTGGTTCACCAACAATATGTTGGCTACATCCACCTAACAGAAGAGAGGAGAGCTTTTACTGATTGAGGAGAGAGATTACAGAGATTACAGAGGGGTTTTCTAGGTGACTAATCTCTATATGAATGCCTTACAAATGAACCTATTTATAGGAAAGATGGCAGCCAACTTGGCTGCCTAAATCCAGTGGGATCTGAGCTGTTGACAGCCCAGAATACTGCTGTCATACAGCTGGCCCACCTCACCAACTAGCAACCCACTTGCCCAATTGTCTAGGCCTCCTTCCAGCTACTTTCCAGCCAGTTTGCAGCCATTGTTGACTAGTCAAATAGGTTAGAATTCAAGGCATTCCAACAGCGACAGATCGGGAGCACGGGCTAGCGTTGAGGCCAGAGTTGGGACTGCCGATACTCCTGTTGATCGCGCAACCGCAACAAGATGCGCCACAACCACTCATGGAGGTCATGAACTTCTTGGCCTCCCTCGAGGCTATAAGTGAGGAGGAGACAGGTCGCACCGAAGCTTGCCACTGACTGCAATTCAAGCTCTTCTCACTCCACGGCGTGTTGAGGCAGAGAACCTAGAGGCGGAAGGACCACTCCAAAGCCCGCCACTGACTGCTTGCTGGTGCGTGAGCACCTCTGTTGTGAGAATGAGCTTAGGGTGTGGAAGGACCGACCTCGTGGTCACCTGGTTCAGGGAGTGTCATCATCACCAGCCCGGTTCTATTATGCCCCTTTGTTCCAAATTAAATTCATACTTTCTTTTTTCATCTGTTCCAAAATAAATTAATACTTCTCCACTCCCCCTTTTCAATTTGGATTGAAATTAGCTCAGTTTACCCCCATTCCCAGAGCATACATCAATTTAAAAATTTACACATTACAACAACAACCCATTTGGATCCCACAATAGTAGGGTCTGGGGAGGGTTTGTGAATGCAGACTTTGCCCCTACTTGAAAGTAGGGAGGTTGTTTCCAAGAGACACCCAGCTCAAGTAGCGCCGACAATATTAGAGCAAAAGACACATGAAAGCAGAGAAAGCACAAAACATACAAATCACACTACAAAGCATACAACGTACACAAGTGTAGAAACAAATCAAACCATCACCTAGTCCAAATTTGCACATTATAAACAACAATATTGATCCCAGATTTTATTTTTCTCTTGAGAAATTAATGCAGCCTATATATTGCTGACTAGCACTGACCTCACTAGTATCTCTGTTTTTTAAGCGTGCACACTTTGACCCCAAGACCCCAACCGAATTGGTATTTTGTTGGGTTGTTGACTAGACAAAGAAATATGTGGGGCAGTAACAAGCACAAATAAGAGTTTATTCCAATGCATTTTGGGGGGTAAATTCAATGTGTGTACAATTTGAAAACATCATAATGAATGATAGTCATGAGGATGGATCTTACTGCCCAATTAGGAAGCAGGGCCACCAATGTTGGTGAAAGGCCACGATAAAGTCCCCTAACGCCTTCGGTTCTTAGTATGTGTTGCAAGCTGGTGATGATGACACTCCCTGGTATATTTTTTTTAAACATATAGTTCGGGTCAAAAATATATAGGAAACACATGAAAATATGAAAATGAGTATAAAACAATCAGTTTCAGTGAATGCCTTCTTTACAGGATATTATGGCCAGTGTAATAGTCATTTAACTATAAGTTCGTTGCTCTTACTGAATGCTCATCAGCTTGTACAAAAAATTCGTCACAATTGAATTGCTCTAGTCATTTTCTATTTTCCCTTTATTAGAGAAAGCAATAAAAGAATGCAACAACTCTAACAAATTCATATCTTTGGCTGTAAAAATAATTTGTCGACAATTCTAAGCTCCCTAATGATAAAAGGAAAATGAAAATTGAGAAGATAAGACATATGTAGCACATTGCAATTTAATAATTGCATTTTAATAATCCAAAGATAAACTGCAGTTTGCACAGACCCATAAAACTTTGGAAGAAACTACAAAAACCCAAGTTATCATCCTATTACGAGACAAGATGAATAATCATAACAGACCAAGTAAAATCCTATAAGTGTGTGCACGTAAAACTTACCCCTACCCGCAAACCTCACCCTGACCTAGAAAAGGTAGAAAGAATGTTTCCAAAAGATTCTAAATCAGGTACAAAAGAACACAAGTTAGTATAGCTCAACAAGTAAAGGTAGATTAGGTCATTGATGTTGGGACCGCATGCAGTAATCTGCGTCACGTGTGAGGCAGCATGTTGAGTTATACTCATCCCACATCGGCCGTGCACACCAATATTAAGGTGTTTACAATGGCTAGCATGCCTCAACTTCTTGAGTTAACTTTTGTGGTTGAATTGGGTCCAAGTCTATTATTTCACAATAACTAACTAATTGTGAAGGGTTGGCCTTACCATAGAGAACCATTCCAATCTAAACCTACCCTACAACTCTAACCCTTAGGTCCTGTCTAATCACTTAACTCTAAAGCTTCTTCAAAACTACAAGTAGACCCTGATGTAACCTCATCTCCACCTGAAAGTGGTCCAAGTCCCCTCCTCACTGACCTCGCGCTTGTCTTTTGCTCTTTGGTGTTCCATCGTACATGTCCTTTATTTTTCAATTGTATGCAACTACCACTTCTCTGTACTCCAAGCACCCCCACGAGACCTCCGTAGTATGTCTTCTCTAAGTCGATAAACACCATGTGTATGTGTCTCTTCATATCCCTATAATGCTGCATCTACCTACTTAGATGGTAGATGGTCATTGTAGTCGAACACCATGGCATGAAATCAAATTGATTCTGAAAAATAGTCACCTCCTCATCTCCGTTTCTATGACACGTCCCAAACATTTATGGGGCTAAACGATTTGATGGCCCTACAACTATTGCAATTTGGATATCTCATTTGCCCTGGGATCATAGTGTTCTCCCTCCACTCTTCGGGCATCTTGGTCGTCCTAAATATGAAGTTAAATAACTAAGTAAACCACAATATCTCCACTCTTCCAACGATCTTCCAAAACTCTGCAAGGCTCTCATCATATCTAATTATTCTTCCCCTCCTCATCCTGATAATAGCGAACACGACTTCCCCCAATCTGATGTGCCTAAAGTACTTGAAATCTTGATGACTCAGAACGCACTAACTCACCCGTTAGAATAATTTTCCCTTCTACTTTTAAAAGGCTACGAAAGTACTTAGGCCATCTAAGCATTGTGGTCGTTGCTTCCATTAGCAAATTGTCGTCCTGGGCTTTTACTTACCTCATTTGTTTCAGTTTGTGTGCCTTCTGCTCTCTTAGCCCTCCAAAACAATCTATTATCCCGCCTTTCTCCTCCAGGTCCTTAAACAATTGTACAAAGTTGTACTTTTTGCTTTCCAAAAGGGTAACTTAGCTTTTTTCCATGCAATGTTATAGTTATCATGGTTCCCCCTTAACCCTATATAGTTTGAATTTCTCCCCACCCTCATTTTCATATTCTTCATTTTTGCCACAACAAAACAGTGGCTTATCTCCACACTCCAATCACTGAATCACCATCTTCATCTTCTTCCACTTCAATGTCGTATTTCTTGGTGGAAGCATGTGTGGCTGCAATCCTTGATATGAAAATCGGTCTTCATCTTACATATCAACTTCCCGCCTTGTGACTTGTGCTACCTTATTCAGAACCCACGTCGCAGTCTCCATCTTCAAGCATGCTCTTAGTCTCCACCACTATTGCTATGTTCAAAATCAGCTATGGCATATTATATTTTTTGATGAGTTGCGGCATAGTTTTTATCTTCTTGAAACTTGATTTTTAATTAGTTCTTGAAATCGAAAATAGTTCTGGAAATGAAGTAGAGGGAGCTTTGTAATTTTTTTTATGGAGAGTAGATCTAAACATTACTTCTAGGCGGAAACTAGTCCTCCGACCATGCTCTCAGTTTCTAATCCTTGTTTTCTTGATGAGTTCCGGAAACCCTCTCTCCATCTTTGATTTTTAATTAGTTCTCAGCACTACTTAGTTCTCCACCTTCATTTGGTTAACCAAATTATGTATCTTGTACTTTGATAAAACTCTTGCATTTAACTTTATGTTAATTTAAAAGCAGTTGATATTTCAATTTACATATAGTAAGTTATACAATTTTTAAAACGACAAGTTTCCATTGACACTGGATGACAATGTCAACGAATGTCACTCGTCTATTTTGAGCACTTGTGCTGCTCCAAATGAAACATTGATGGTTCCTACCCCCCTAAACCCCCCACCGCACCCCACCCCAGTCCCACCCCCGCACCCCCACCCTAGACCCCCATTTTACCCCCTCCAAATGTGTAGCTATTTTAGTCCCTTGACCAACGGGAGTTGCTTGAAGAGGGAGAGGCACGAAGTAACTCACCCAAGGATGCCGGCATAATCCTTACGAACAAAGGACCTGACTTCGGGATAGCCTTCCACGTCATACCTTGGTGAAGAGGTCCAAGGCGTGTAGCGTTTTCAGCAACCTAGCTACTACCAAATAAAGGTCTTGGTCAAATCGGTCAACTCATGGGCATTACGGACCAGCACATAATAGTCACACACTTTGGAGGGGGTAAAAGGGGGGTCTAAGGGTGTGGGTGCGGGGGTGGGACTAGGGTGGGGTGCGGTGGGGGTTTAGGGGGTGGTTAGGGGGATAGGAATCATCAATGTTTCATTTGGAGCACCAGAGGTGCTCGAAATAGGCGAGTGTCAAACATGAATAATTTCAATTATTTGAATATGAAACAGATATGAATTCGAATATATCAAAGATTTGGTGAATTAGAATCGAATATATCAGTATTTGATTTGGTTCAGTTCGTATATATCCTTACCACTGGACACCTAACACCTCCCTAGCAATCTCTTGGATGCAGTTGGTGGTTCTAAACCACAAGGTATCTACGACCCCACCAACTCTCAAAGTGCTTCTTGCATGTAACTTCTTTTCCAACTCATGACTCGTATCCTTATCCAAGTCCCTCCATCGAAGACAGGATAAACCACTTGATACTCGCCTCTTCCTCTCCCACATCATTGTGATATCCATCACCAGGAGCTTATGTTGGGTTGTAACAGCCTGTAATATTCTCACTTGGGATTACATTATGTTATTTGCATGGCACAATACAACCATTCATGAGTGGTAAGTAATCAATTTGCCCCTTTGCAACCCGACTACAAAAGGTCACCAAGTGTTCCACTTTTGAAACTCAGGTGAGTGACCACTCACCACTTGATTGGTGGCTCTAGTGAACTCAAAAAGTGAGACCTACATTGTGTCACCAAAACCAGCCCCACCATGAACATCATAGTACACATCTTTTGCCAACCCGACATGACCATTGAAATCACCTTCTATGACTAATTTTTCTGAAGGTGAAATACCACTAACATCCCCATCAAACCCATCCGAAAACTTTCTCGACTTTCTCATCATGGCCTATTTTGGGGACGTAAAAGCTAGTTAAAAGTGTGTTTGCCAACCATGAGTTTAATGGTCATCAACATATCACTAAATGCGGTCACATCGGGTTGACGGCAGATGTCGAGCAAAAAATGCATCAGTTTTGGGAAGAAACAGATCTTCAGATGGGAGGGAGAGGGAGAGAGACAGACCTGGGACTCGGTTCTTCTCAGAAATTGACTCAAAATGCAAAAGTTATTGGGCTCCGGATCTGAAGACGAATTTTGATGGTACAGTTGGTACTCTCTGGTCTACCGGCTACAGGAGATGGCGGAAGATAGAGGCAAAAGAAATACAAGAGTACAAAGAAAACAAATACTCCCTCCGTCCACCAGTATTCGTTCACTTTCATTTTGACACCCAAACCAATGTAATGAGTAAAAGGACACAATTTCCCTTGAACTACCCTGCAGATCTCCTCCGCCATTCTAGCCTCCTTCAACCACCCCAGCATATTCTCTCTGCCGCTCTGCCACCCCAGCCTCCCAATCTGTCGTCACCCCGACGGTCTCCGCCATCTATATGATGTTCAGCCACCCCCCAGTCAGTGATGGTTTCAAAGTTAAACAAAAAAAACAAAAAGTAGCTAGAATAGAGACATTAGGCTAAGATGAGAAACCAATCAAAGTAGAACACAAAAGTCCCACATTCCGATCTAGAATAAGGTCAAGATTTTAGAAGAAACATTAGATCTAGATTTCAAAATAGAATAAAGCCCCAATTTCATAACAAAAGCAAAATCAGGAATTACAAACTAGCATTAAATTTTAGATCTAGATCTTGAGAAGACATTCAGCCATCGTCGAAGAAGAAATCCGCCCGCCATCATGCACTGTTAGTCGTCTTATTGAAGAAATCCAACTCCGGCAATATTGATACTCTGTATGTCAGAGAAGACAAGATGAGGGAGACCAATGGAGACACATGAGACCATGAGAGAGAAGGGGATTGGGTTTGATTCGATTATTGGAAGAGAAAATAGATTTGAATAAGAGTAAATGATTAGGGTTAAATGGACATTTCATATTATTTTTCTTACCTTAATAAGAAAGTGGACGAATACTGAAGGACGGTCCAAAAAGGAATACTGGACAAATACCGGGGGACGGAAGGAGTACATGTTATCAAGAAAGTGCAACCCTCAAAGTTTAGTTAGCTGAAGCCTGAAGAATCTAGGAGTTTGATTGAAGGCTTGCAGGAGCTATTGTTATAGTGTTTTATCAGCTTTATGAATTGTCCATTGTGGAACACATGTTCAGGGGAATTATCCTTGGTGCAACGGTAACGTTGCTCCTTCGAGACCTACTCATCACAAGTTAAAATCTGGAAATAGCCTTGTCTCGGCATAAGGGAAGGAAGGCAGAATACATCAACCCTTCCATTACTAGGGTAAATCCGTTTTTAAAGTACATGATGTTGTGTGCCTAGATTAGGATTGTGTCACGGATATGTGTCATGAAGACAAAGGTTGGCTAGATTTTTCATAGAAAGGTAAGCAAGCTACATGTGAAAAGGAAAAGGTTTTGAAGTGATATTGATGGGAACAATAAAATAAGTAGGAGATGATGTTGAGTTCTCCTCTATCTCTCTTTGCTTTTCCAAATTGAACAATTTTCTAATTATGTTTTATGCATGTAAACATCCTCTTTAATTAAGAAAGTTATGGTAACCCCCCCCCCTCCACCAAATGTAGGAAAGCAATTACTCCCTCCGTCATATTTGATACCTTCCAATAGTAGGGTAAATCATTTTTTAGAGTACATGATGTTGTGTGCCTAGATTAGGATTGTGTCACGGATTTGTGTCATGAAGACAAACATTGACTGGGAGTTTCATATAAAGGTAAGCAAGCTACTCACAAAAAGGAAAGAGATTTGAAGTGATATTGAATGGGAACAATAATATAAGGAGATGATGCTGAGTTCTCTAACTCTTTTGCTTTTCCAATTTGAACAATTTTCTAATTATGTTTCATCTATGTAAACCTTCTCTTTAGTTAATAAAGTTATGGTTACCCCCCACCCCATTGTGGGACTGCGGTTAAGCAATTACTTCCGCCATCATATTTAATATTTTTATGTGTCCCCCTGTGCAACAAGACAAATAGCAATCTCAACTGTTGACATTAAAGTACATGTAGGGCCGATCATACGAATTTGGAGACCCTATGCAAATAATTAATTTTAGGCTCCTAGGTCTGTACATAGTTACGAGTTACATTTAATAATCTTCAAAAGGAATTTTGTATCCCAGATAAATTAGTTTATTTTGCCTTTAATTATCACACAATGCCCACAACGAGTGCTTCTATCATGCACCCTAGGAGCACCATGGACATTCTCACATAAGCAATTTGATTAAAAATGTTCATCTCTATAATACTCTGTAATTTTTTCCGTATGTTCACATAGGGTGAATTATAAGAATTTGTTTCACAGAATAACGCAATTCACTATTCAAAATGTAAGAAAGGTACTTTTCATGATCACACTAACAATCATGGATTTTAAAAAAATCAGAAAATTTCAAGAAAAGAAATATATGCATAATATAATATTTCTTGTACAGAGAGATTTAAATGCACATTCTTGGGAATTTTTTCAAATAAACATATACAACGTATTGTACTAAGCTTTCATTAAAAACCAGAATTAGCATTATAATTCTATAGCTTTAAATAATCAAAAACTGCTCTTGGGTACCCCCTATTTTAAGAAACTAACTGCCAGGTACCTCACATTTTTAAAATATACTCAGAGGTACCCTTTATTTTGAGAAACTAGCTACCGGGTACCCCATATTTTTAGAATATACTTCGGGGTACCTCCAAATATACATTAACTTACCTGTGAGGGCCATTCCGTCTCACTCTGTGTTAAAGCCAGTTACGCCATTAATTTTAAGAAATAAAAGTTTGGAATTCCAAAAATAACATTGGTTCTTATACTTTAAGGATGCAATCTATCCAGTTTAACTGAAACTTTCGAATGAAACGGAATGTCCCTCACGGGTAAGTTAATATACATATGGAGGTACCGCGGAGTATACTTTAAAAATTTGAGTTACCCGACAGTTAATTTCTCAAAATATATGGTACCCCGGAGTAGATTTCAAAAATATGAGGCACCCAAAAATTAGTTTCTCAAAATAGGGGTACCCAGGCGCAGTTTTCTGTTTAAATAATTACTCCCTCCGTCCTAAAATGTTTGTCACATTACGCAAAACGAAGAAAAATTTCAAGTTTTTCAAATCATTTTAATTAAAGATTGATATACAAATAAAAAATACTCCCTCCGTCTCGAAAAACTTTTCCAGTTTTTACTTTTGGGAGGAGAAGATATAGAAGTTTGACCAAGGCAGAACGATGATAATTGAAACAAGTTGGGCTCGGGAAATATCAAAATGGGTAGAACGTAGAAGGTAGTTGAGGTAGATTCGGTTAGATTTAAGAAAAGTAAGGGCAATTGTGTATTTGTGTCTATTTAGGCGAAATTAAAATGTTTTATGGGACATGTAAGAATTGAAAGTTGAAATGTTTTAAGGGATGGAGGGAGTAAAATTTACATATTTAAAAACTAAGTCAAAAGTTCCTCAAAACAAGAGCTGACAAGAATATTTTATTTTAGCAAAAAATCGATGAAAATGTATAAATAAACAAAAGTTCTTGTGATTTTTGAATAGTGAACTATGGAACTCTTTTTGGGATGGAGGGAATATAAGCTTTGACGCATCCTAACATTCTTGGTAAGAGTAAAGAGGCACAAATGAGATCTAAGAATGTTTGATCACCAAACTATCTTGCACTATAAACTTTGGGCCGACATATTTTAAAAGAATGTGAGTTCAATCCTAAAACAATTAAAAAGAAATACTGAAATATAAGCTTATAATCTTAGGAACTCATTTATTTTTTTAACTTTTGTCTCAACAAATACATATTATACACCTTTATTTTCGTGTTATTAGTAGTGCACCAACAAAGCAACCATAACCCTCGATGAACTCTACCTTCTCTTGGGGCCCCAAACTTTCGGGCCCCTGGGCAGTCACACCATTTTGTCTCCGTCAGGGCCAGGACTGAGTACACGTCATTCTGCTTCTCTATTGTGATTAGCCTCTAGCAGATGGATACCTTATTGATCGAGTCCAATCTGTCCATCTCTCAACAAATCGAGCAAGTCTGGCAACGGAGTATTTATTGCCATCAAGAAGACTAAAGTTTTGATGAAGGAGTGTCTGCCATTGATTGTTTTTCTTAATCAAATGATCAAATCTCTTTTTCTCAGTGCCACATATACTCAAGCTTTTACACTTTAACCATTCTCAAGTCAAGTATGTAAAGAAAATTCCAGAAATGCACACGCACACAAACAAGCAATTTCTTTTAAACCTGTGATGATAAAAAGGAAGACGCACCTCTACGGCCAGATTGGGCAACCTCAGGCAGACCATGGACTTGCAGTCTCGTCTTGATGACATCCAGAGGACAAACAAATGTAGCAGCTATAGCACCTATCCAAAATCCACCAAATTACGGTAACATTTTCACTAAACCTTTTGACTGAAACCCTAGCTAGAAGCCAAAGACAAGAGTTGCAAAATCAGATAAATCAAGACATTTCAAAGAAATTGGAGGGGAAGGAACTAAACAGTAAACAAACCAGCCGAGGCACCCGCACTAGCGTCGCATAAGATTTGCCTTGCGCTCGGGCGGTCTCCCGCAGCCGCCGCCATGTGAAAGATCGACAGTGTTTCTTGCGAACAGTAAATCAAGCGATAATTGATTGGGTTCCGATTGAAAATTTAACCAAGTCGAATAAAATCAAACGCTAGGCCTGGAAGGAGGGATGATTTGTCTCAGTTATCTGTTATCTTAAAAACTTTGGCCATTTCTAGGCGGCTTTTGGTTGGAGGTAGGTAAAAGTTTTATTAGGTAGGTAATGGTAGATAATTGAAGGTAGATAATTGAAGGTAGGTAAAGTAAGGTAATGAGTTAAAAAAATTGTGTTTGGATGTTTATTAGGTAACGTGAGGTAGGAAAAGAATAAAATTACTAAAATATCCTTGTGATATTTTCTTTATTTGTTTAGGATGTATTTATATAAAATAACCTTTTACATTATATTCTTACTAATTTTTACCCTATACTTTGCATGGGCTTTTATATGCGTGCGTAAAATATAAATACAAAATTATTTTTACATCACTTCTAACCATTTTTTTATTTATTTTATTAGAATTTATTTAAATTTTAAATGTAAAATTTTAAAATTAAGATAACACTCTGAGACGAAACTTCTAAGTAACATCATCTTATATAAATGCAACTAATCAAAATTTAGTTGTCATACATTTCATAATAAAAACATCAAACATATTGTTCTTCCACACATCAAAAAACATGGACAATGACTTCAAATGTAACATATGTTCACAAAAAACGACATATTTAGACACAAGTCTTATGATAAATAAAATAGTGACCACTTCAGATTCCTTCCTTGTTCAGAACATCATTGAGAAAACTTTCGCGTACTTCCTCCGGTAATCCAAGAATTGCTTTCACAGTCACAGGTTTCTCCAAAAGGAACATGTACGCATGACTCTTACGACTTCCCTCGAAATTCAGCGATCCAACAAGGTTCCATATATCTGCTGGGGGTAGCGGATTCTTTTCTTTCAAATACTCAGAAGTACATGTTTTCATTGCATCCGAAATTAAAGTCACCGATTTCGTAAGAAATTCTTCATCACTTAGTTTAATTTTTTTCTTTTTCCTAGTCTTGTCTTTAGACATATTCTCCGAAAATTTTGGTGCATCATCACCTCCAACTTGCTTTGTATTACCGACGAGAGGGGTGGGAGAAGCCTCTAGAGTGCACTCATTGTTGGATAACAAATCATCAATATCATTTATAATTCCACAATCACTCTGAATACCTGTGAAAGCATCTGAGCCACCCTCTCTAGATTGTCGCATCTCTGACGGTGTTTCTGCAAACTCTCCAGTAGCTCTATCTCTTGCATACAACTCACACATCTTATCATAAAATGGTATTGGCTTATCTCGCCATTCTTTTGCTTCTGGATGAGCCTACATAATAAATTACATTTTTATTAGAGTCGCGACATAATACATATGTCCATTTCATGCATAAAAAAATGTAGTTCATCCATACCTCCACAAAAGCATCCCACACATCATCATCGACGTCTCAAGTCATTGTGGTTGAGTTGAAGCCCCAACCACTGGTTGAGATGTGTCGGAAAACATCAAACGCAGCTGAGAATTTGCCTTTAAGTAGCCGCATATGCCTACGAAACTTGTCTTTTGTCCAATTCTCATCTGGATATTTTTCTTTCAACTCTTTCAAAATATAGTCATAAGCTCGAGGAGTGAATGTACCTCCAACACGATTTCCTTTTCTGTGTTGTTCCAAATGAGCATCGATAAGAAACTCATCCATGTCTTCAGTCCAGGTTGTTGTGCGCACACCTGCCCGATTGGTTTTTGTAGCCATTCTATAATATAAGCAAACAAATAAGAACACATACTATAGTGTACTACAAGAATAACACATATATTTAACAAAAGATAATAGCCATTATCCATTCGAATGTTGCACAAGAAAGAAGTACATACTCCATAGTTATATAAAATTTAAAATCCAAAAAAGAATGTTGCACATAGTAAGTTTAAATACGCACACCATTATAAGTCAATCATAACAAAGAAAAGTTTTGCAAAAGCTATGTATGAGTAATGTAATCATCCCACATGGCCTTTGCAATGGAATCACGTAATTCTTCTGCCATCCTTGTGTTCTCGTTCCCACTACGAGCGTGAGGTATTGTGTTCTCGTTCCCGTCAAGGTTGTCATCTTCGTCTTCATCCGTGTCTTCGTCCCAAGCCTCATCAGGATCTCCACGTAACAAATAGTTGTGCAAAATTGAGCAAGCCACTATTATTTTCTTTTGCGTCTTTACTTTAAAATTCGGATCATCAGCACTTTTCATAATTGGGAAACGTTTCTTGATCACACCAAATGCCCTCTCCACCACATTTCGCAGTGACGCATGACGCAAGTTAAATAATTCTCTCTTATTTGTTGGTGGGTTAACGTCATATTCTTTTAAGTGATACCTTACCCCTCTAAAAGGTGTGATAACACCTAGAGATAAAGGGAATCCGGCATCACCTAAATAAAACTTACCTATACAAATAGAAAAAGAATGTGTTATCTTAAAATACTTCATACTTCTAATAGTAAAAAATCAATACTTACCTTGTGGAATTTTTAAAGGGTATGCACGGTGCAATGCATCTCTCAACATTCTAGCATCAGATACCGACCCCTCCCAACCCGGTAGTATGTACGTAAAGCTTAGATCAAATGTGCAAGCACCTAGAACATTTTGAGTTGGAAAGTCTTTTCTACCACGAAATCTAGGTGCATCGGCCACAGGCACTTTTGCCCGCACATGAGTTCCATCAATAGCTCCCACACAATCCTATGGACATAATAACTTTAGATGTAGTTTGCAAATTTTTAAAAAGTGTGTGAATCTGTGTTTATGTATTGTCACCTTGAAATAGGGGAAGAACTTGGAATTGTTAAATATCTCTGAAGGGATCTGTGTGCCATCTGGTTGGGTTAGAAACAATGCTTCTAACTTAATTACAGCATTCAGAACATTGTGAAAATGTCT